TCCTAAAAGGGGGAAATGGGATTTGGGGGATCCTAAAAGGGGTTTTGGGGATCCTAAAAGGGGTGTGGGGAGGATTTGGGGTATCCTAAAAGATGTTTGGGGGATCCTAAATGGGGTTTGGGAGGATATATGGGATCCTAAAAGCGTTTGGGGAATCCTAAATGGGGTGTGGGAGATCCTAAATGGGATTTGGGGGGGATTTGGGGGATCCTAAATGGAGTTTGGGGAGAATTTATGGGATCCTAAATGGGGTTTGGGGAGGATTTCCTAAAAGGGATTTTGGGGATTCTAAATGAGGTTTGGGGAGGATTTGGGGGATCCTAAAAGGGATTTTGGGGATTCTAAATGGGATGTGGGGAGAATTCATGGGATCCTAAATGGGGTTCGGGGGATCCTAAATGGGGTTAGGGAGGATTTGGGGGATCCTGAAAGGGATTTGGGGGATCCTAAATGAGGTTTGGGGAGGATTTAGGGGATCCTAAATGGGGTTTGGGAGGGTTTGGGGGATCCTAAATGGGGTTTGGGGGATTCTAAAAGGGGTTTGGGGAGGATTTGGGAGATCCTAAATGGCATTTGGGGGATCCTAAATGGGGTGTGGGAGATCCTAAATGGGCTTTGGGAGGGTTTGAGGGATCCTAAATGGGGTTTGGGCAGGATTTGGGGGATCCTAAATGGGGTTTAGAGAAGATTTAGGGAGTCCTAAAAGGGGTTTGGGGGATCCCAAATGGGATTTGGGGGATCCTAAATGGGGTGTGGGGAGGATTTGGGGGATCCTAAAAGGATTTGGGGGATCCCAAATGGGATTTGGGGGATCCTAAATGGAGTTTAGGGAGGATTTAGGGGATCCTAAAAGGGTTTGGGGGATCCTAAATGGGGTAAAAAAAGGGATTTAGGGGATCCTAAATGGGGGAATTTAGGGGAGAAACGGAATTTGGGGTTTTCCCATTTAGGAGGATCCCAAATGGAGGAAAAATTGGATTTGGGGGATCCTAAATTAGGACGCCCTAAAATTAGGACCAGATTTAGGGAGGGGTCTATGGGGGATGTTTGGGGTCCCCAAATGAGGGTTGGGGTCTTTGGGGACCCCTCGGGGGGACTTTTGGGGTCCCCACATGAAGGTTTGGGGATTTTTGGGGTCCCCGAATGAGGTTTGGGGATTTTTGGGGACCCCTCGGGGGGATTTTTGGGGTCCCCGAACGAAGTTTGGGGATTTTTGGGGACCCCCATTGCGGTCCCTAAATGGGAGAATCCATTGGGACCCCCAATGGGGGGGGGGGAATCCCATATTGACCC